GGGGGAAAAGGATGGGGAGAAGAAGGGGAATGCACGGAACGATGAGGGTGAGGAGCAGAATGCAGAGTAGGCGGACGATTATGCCAAGAGTAAGGCCAAGATAGAAGACGCGGAGAGGATAACCAAGATTTTTTAAGACGAACTTGGACTGAGGAAGCGGCGATAGACCAGTCTCGAGGAAACGAGTATGCAGTAGGGCAGTAGGGCAGTTGTCGAAATTCATTAATTAAAAAAGGTCGGTGCAGGTTAGCCCCAAAATATCTTATCTTCTCTTGTGAGTGAACAAAGCAATATGGACTTGATCGAGCGGACGACGAAACACAAAACCCTTTACTCCAAATGAGCTCACACCAATGTCCCACAATGAACATACTGAGAGACGTACGAAAAAGGCTGTACCAAGTGCCATCGCTGCACTCACTGGTAGCATGGACTCATCCCAAGTCGCATCGCATCTCCTCGTCTCTTATCACCTCCGCAATCTTCTTGCAATATACCAAACAACCAAATTCCCCTTCCCCCAAAACCCTAGCAGTTGCACCCACCAGGCCCCTGAGTCTGGTTCGCCTCAGGCCTGAGGTTAACGCCCTGTCGTTGCTGGCCCGGTCTCAAGTTCCTGGGACCCGCCTGGTCGATGGGCAGTTTCTTCGCGATAGCCGTGAAGAGCTCCTTGACGTTCTCGCTTGTCTTGGCCGACGTCTCGAAGAAGAGGAGGCCGGCTTCGCGGGCGTATTGCTCGGCGTCGGCGGTGGAGATGGCGCGCTTGTCGGGGGATTCGGTCACGAGATCGAGTTTGTTGCCGGCGAGGGCGATGATGATGTTTTCGTTGGCTTGGCGTTGGAGTTCTTTGACCCAGGCTTTTGCTTTGTCGAGGGAGGCCTGGGGGTGTTAGTCTAATCATGATATGGGGTGGTAGAAGGGAGACGTACGGCCTGTGTGATGTCGTAGACGACGACGGCGCAGTTTGCGTTTCGGTAGTACATGGGCGCGAGCGACTTGTAGCGCTCCTGGCCGGCGGTATCCCAGATCTCGAACTTGACCGTCGTGTTCTCATCGAGGGCGATGGTTTGGGTGAGGAAGGCGGCGCCGATGGTGGATTCCCGGTAGTCGTCGAATTGGTCCTGCATACATTAATAACAACATCTTGTTTGGGGGTGTGGTATGTCCTACCTTGACGAAGCGCAATACTAGAGACGACTGCGGCATGTTAGCTTATGTCATGGCTGCCTTGATAGGCCTGCGCACCTTTCCGACGGCGGATTCACCTGGGCAGGTTAGTCATGTCTTCATACACATATCATAGTAATCTCGTACCCAACAGCACCAGCTTGAACTGTGCGAATCTGGAGCCTCCGGGCCGTTGGCCTTGCTGCATCCTGGCCGACATGATGGGGGTGACGCGGCGCTAGCGGGTTGTGGCGGAGGGGGCTGGTGTAGAGCGGGCGAGGGTGGTGGTGCGAGTAGTGGGCGGTCAAGGCGGGACCGGGTCGGGGTATGGAGAGAGAGGCGTGTTGGGGTGTGGTGAGGGTGAAAGAGCTGGATGGTGCTGTGACGAGGTGCTGCGTCTGGTGCTTGGCCCTAGCGCGCGAGTCGGGGACCCTTGGCCGCAATGGCCGCCATGACGAAACCTCCCGTTTGAGAAAACACATCCAAACACATTGCCAAACACAATACTCAACACCACGCCAGATTCCCGTATACACACCCAGATCCCTGTATACTCGCCCAGGTGGACGACATCATGAGTGTCGCTCTCCCCTACCGCGACATCAACGTCCACTCGTCGCCCTCGCACTACGCCTTCTCGTCGCCCTCGTCGCCCTCGGCCCCTACACTCGTCGTAGACCGCCCGTCAGGTGACATCCGCCTCCACGATGGCAAGCTGCTGGGCTCCAAGCGCGTGTCAAGCATTGCCGGCATCCTCGGCATGATCAAGCTGCGACTAGGTATGCCTCCTGCACAGCACCAGGGGACACGAATGCTGATGCACGTGAAGACAAGTACATCATCGTCATTACCAAGGCCCAGCCCATGGGCCGGATAAAGGGCCACATGATATACAAGATAGTCTCGACCGAGTTCCTCTCCCTGCGCGAGAAGCCGCTGCACGACGCCGACGAGGACAACTACCTCAGCCTGCTCAAGACGCTCATCAAGACGTCCCCGCTGTTCTTCTCCTACTCCTTCGACATCACCAACACCTTCCAGCGCCAAGCTCACCTCGACCCCGCGACGCCCCTGTGGAAGCGCGCAGACGATCGCTTCTACTGGAACCGCTTCGTCTCGAGCGACCTCATCGACTTCCGCGGAGGTCTCAGCGGCGGATATGGCAGGCACTCGAGCGGACACCAGCCAGGCGCGGACCCCTACATCCTGCCCGTCATGTACGGAATGCTGGAGATCAAGAACACATCCATCAAGGGCACCCCTCTCACCTTCATCCTCATCACCCGCCGCTCGCGCCTCAAGGCGGGAACCCGCTACTTTTCGCGAGGCATCGACGAGAACGGCAACGTGTCCAACTTCAACGAGACGGAGCAGACCATCATCCTGAACGACAACGCATCGGGCGGCCCTGGCGGATTCGGCTCAAACCAGAACGGCGCAGCAGGTGGAAATGCCGGCAAGGAGACACAGGTGCTTGCGTACGTACAAACAAGAGGAAGCGTCCCCGTCTACTGGGCCGAAATCAACACCCTAAAATACACGCCCAAGCTGCAAGTCCGCGGCATCGACAACGCGCTGCCAGCCGCCAAAAAACACTTCGCCGAGCAAATCCGGCTCTACGGCGACAACTGGATGGTGAACCTGGTCAACCAAAAAGGCCGCGAGCAGCGCGTCAAAGAAGCCTACGAGCAAATGGTCAACCTACTCCACACATCCCCGGCGGAAAACGTCGAAGGCGACCGCATCACCTCTGAGAAATTCCACATCATCGACCCCGCTAAGGCGCAAACCGTATACGACCGCCTCCACTACGTCTACTTCGACTTCCACAACGAAACAAAGGGCCTAAGGTGGGACCGCGCCAAGTTACTCATGAACCAACTCGAGCCCCACGTCCTCAAACATGGGTACTTCTGCGGCGTCGACATGCCCGGTGATGGCAGCGGCGTGGAGGTGCGACGGCATCAGACTGCTGTGGTGCGCACGAACTGCATGGATTGTCTCGACCGTACGAACGTTGTACAGAGTATGCTAGGCCGCTACGTCCTCAGCCGCATGCTCATCGACTGCGGCCTGATGCGCGAAGGCGAGTCCGCAGAAGAGGACCAAGCATTCGAACACTTGTTCCGCAACGTCTGGGCCGATAACGCGGATGTGGTGTCGAAATCATATTCTGGTACTGGAGCACTGAAGACAGATTTCACCCGCTTGGGTGTAAGGACAAAGGCTGGTGCTTTGCAGGATCTAAACAACAGTATCACGAGGTATTGTCTTAATAACTTCACCGATGGGCCCAGACAGGATGCGTTTGATTTGTTCCTGGGGAATTATCTACCCGGTGATGGAGGGGTGGGTGGGCAGGCGCTGTTTGCGGATCGGAGGCCGTTGTTTGTGCAGTCGGTGCCGTATATCCTCGCCGCGGCTGTCTTTTTCATTTTCGTCGGTAGCTTCACTCGGCGCGCGCCTGATGCGGCGGTCTGGCCGTTAAGGCTGCTCCTCCTCATATCCCTCCTCACCGCGGCTGTCTGCGCGAATTTCATTTGGGGTCATGGGACGTTATATGTAAGTTTCCTTTCCTTCCTTCCTTCTTCCTCCCTTTCTCCCTTGCTTTCCCTTCTTTTTTTGGACACCAGGGGATGCACTCGCTAACCCTCACTCTTTGTAACAGGTCAACTTCCCCAAACTAAACCGCCAACCCCCTCAAATCGAAGCTTTCCAAGAGACGCTGGCTAAAGTAAGGAATAACCCTGTTGTGGGCCCGTTGGTGGGTGGTAGTGCGAAACATGAGCGCGGGAAGAGTGATGCGCGGTTGTTGGGGTTGGAAGAGGGGAAGAAGAGGATTGAGTAGGTGCGAGTTGGGTTTGTGAGATGGGGAGGGGGAGGGTGGGGGGGAAGGGGGGAGGGGAGGGAGGTTTGGGTGAAGGGAGGGTTGGTTTGGAGATGGAGTGTATAATTAGAAGTTCTTAGTATGTTTTTGTAATAATACTTTGGGTGGTTGGTAGGTTGGTTGGTTGGGGAATACAACAACAGTTTCTACATGGGCAAGTTTTCTGAAGAGGTCGTTTGAGGTACACATTATCAACTTCCCTGGTAATGAGCCTTGCGTTGATGTGGCTTGAGGTATACATCATCACCACACACATGCACACAATTTCCAAACACCTGATTTGAAGTATACAATATCCCCACACACATGCACACAGATTTCCAAAGACGTGGTTTGAAGTATACAATCCATTCAAAACACTCTATCAAAAATTGGGTATCGTAAATAGTAAAGTCGCTTTTCCACCAATAAACATCGTACATATCGTAATCGTGAGTCCCCTCGTAGTCGCCCGGCATACTCATCCCCCTACGCCTTGCCACAAATAACGACGTCGAATTCCTCATCCAGATCTTCGGCGTCCTGATCCGCCGCCTTAACAAAATCCCACCCATCACCTTCTAAACGGTTGCGCAGGCGTTCAAGGTTCGAGTTGGCGGCGCGGCGCAAAACTCCAAGGGTGGGTGGGGGAGGCGGAGGGGAGGCGGAGGGGCGGTGGAGGGGCGGTGGTGGACGTTTGTTTTGTACGTGAGGGGATTGGGTGGTGGGTGATGGAGCGTGATGGAGCGTGATAGATCGTGATGGTATACGCACACGCATCACCAACATCAAAAACGCCTGAAATCTCTGTTCTATTTAGGAGTATTGGGTGGAGTATGTTGATGAAAAAATTGGTTTCATAATCACACTGATTGGATATGTTTGAGTTTGGTTTGAGGTATACAATTCATTAAAACAACTACAGAAATTGGGTATCGTTAAATAGTAAACTCGCTTTTTTCGCCCATCATCGTACAATGACTACGTCGAATTCCTCATCATCCATATCATCCTGATCCTGATCCGCCGATTTGACAAAATCCCACCCCTCCCCCTCCATCCTATTCCTCAAGCGCTCAAGATTCGAGTTGGCAGCGCGCCTCAACACACCCGCCCACTTGTTCTCGCGTCCTCCAGTCACTGGTGCGTCCAACTCCGCAGAACTCGAAGGCGTTAGAATCGTAGACTCAGTCTCGGTTTCGTCTTCCTCCCAGTCGTCAAGCTCAGGCAAAATCCACAGATCCGCTTCTGAGGTGTCTTCTTCGGCGCTGGCATTGAGGTTGAGGCACGTGCTCGCGTGGATATTCATGCCTTGCTGTCCTTGCTGGCGTCGAGCGAGCGCACTGCGTTTGTTGGTGGGACTGGTGGGGTTGGGTGCGGGCAGCCAGGTTGGAGGCGCGTTTTCGCGGTGCAGACTTATGGCTTGGCGGCATAGTGTGCGGTTTGCAGTGCCGGTGGTGTTTGCAGTAGTCATGCCTGTGCTGAGCTTCTTTGACGAATTTGATGCAGACGCGGAACTTGGAGATGCGGCGCGTGATGTGCGCGGCGATATATCGGTTGCGCAGCTGGGGAAGGCGCCGTATATCGCGTTGCTGAGATCGTAGGAGTAGTTTGTGGTGGCATCGCGCGCGGTGGCGGAGCTGTGGGATGATGGTGTGGTAGACATTTTTGCGGGGTGTGTCTAAATTTTCGCGGGGTTTGGGTTTTGCGCGGAGATCTTTGTCTCGTGCGAAAGTTTTGTTGGGGGAGATTTTCTCGGCCCGTGGTATGCGAACAGGTGTTCGTTCTGATTGAATGCTCAGCTGACCAGAAGTTGAAAATTTAGACTTGTGCTGGCGGTGTTTGTTGAGACGGAGAAAAGGTAGCCGAGGACAAAGCCACACTCGGAATTTGCTCCTGCAGACGGATCTGGAAGGTGGGTCTGGCTTTCTGCGACGATCTCAGGCGCTCGAAAGCTGTGTGAGAGTGCGCGGGTGATGGAGATTTGGAAAAGCGGCTGCCTGATGTAGCTTGTGATGGTGGCCGTAATGTGCTGACGTTGCAATATGGCGCAGCTGTGCTGACTTGACTGGTTTCAGTTGGGGTCTGCTTTGGAAGATATTTTGATTTGAGAAGTGATGTGAGAGAGAGATGGTTGAAATGAGAGAGAGAGAAAGAATCGACAGTATATAAAGGAATCCGTATGAAAAATCCGTTAGCAGTCAACCGTACATTGCTCTCGACCAGAATAGCAAGAGGCGCTGTGAGTGGGTGGCTACAAGTTTGGATCAGTAACCGTGGGCTCGCGCGGCAAGGGAAGCCGAAGTGAAGCTGCGGTTAGTCATTGAGCAAGATTGTGAGTGTGAGTGGATTTGGCACAGCATATTGTTGGCTGTCATCAAATTTGGAGTGGTGGTGAGTTGTCGTGGGAGCATGTGGGTGCGGCGGGCGATAACCTGGGACTGCCGAGAGTCCGTGCACCCTGACGTGTGTGCTGGTCGAGCTCTTATCTTATAAATTAGACGCCCCGCAAAAAACCTTGCTTACAAGTCCTTACAGCTTCTAAAAACTTCTTAGCTAATTATAGAGCTAGCGCATAAACTAAACTTCTTAGCTAATAAGAGCTAATTATATAATACTTATAGTAAGGCTTTTATAAAGTATCTAAGAAAAAATAGTAGAACTTTTAGTAAATAGACATTTTAAATTATAACTTTAGTAAAGTTTACCTATTAGTACTATAACGCTACTATCTTACTTTATTATAGTGTTAGATATAATAGAAAGCGCAAGTTCTTCTTAATACTATTATATTTATTAGGTCTAATTTACGCGTAGTATTAATAAAGAAGTATAGCATTATAAAAGATAATATTTTAGCTCTTTAGCGTAATTGCGTCTTACTAACCTATCTACTATATTCTACTTACTTTATACTTACGCTAAAACTCTTATAAAGCTCTATAAAGTTCTATAAAGCTCTATAACCTTCTATAAACTTTTATACTAGTTATAGTTATGTCTACTATACGCGTTATATTATAGTATTATAGTATTATAGTATTGCGTATAGTAGTACTGCAGTACTCTAATAGAGACGTTATAGTATTATAAGATACTATAGACTTCTATAAACTACTAGGCTAATAGCTAGCTACTAAGACTTATAGTAGGTAGATTAGCTACTAGCTATATAGTAGTAACTTTCTTAGACTTCTATAAACTTCTATAAAGTTCTTTAGACTACTAGTAACTTCTATAAACTTCTACAAAGTTCTTTAGACTACTAGTAACTTCTTATAGCTAGTTATTTCTATAAAGTAGCTATAGTAAAGTATAAGACAAAGTAAAAAGTAGATAAATATAGTAGATAGTACTAGAGTTGCGCTATTACTACGCCTAAGTATATAGTAATTAGGTAAGCTACGCTTTTAATTAATTAACGTATTACTATAATTCTAGATATAGAATTAGAGAAACTTCTTCTACTAGTAGAGAATATAAGATAGAAATAATATATAGCATTATAAGAGTAGATTATTTAGTATTATCTAAGGCGTGTGCTATTTTATAGTTATAGTAGTAAGGCACTTAAACTACATAATAAGTAAGTATACGCTCTTTAGCGTCTTATTTATATAAGAGGTAATATATTATTAATTACTATAACTAGCTTTAGTAAAAGCCTTATCTTCTATACGTATTTAGTATTAACTAGAAAGATTATACTATAGTTAATACTACTCTCTAAGCTAGAGAATAAGTAGCTTAGTAATATATATTATCTTAATAGCGTAAGACCTTACTTAGTTAATATAAGAACTTATACTTAGTTTTATAAGCTTATTAATAAGATTATCTATAGTAAGTATACTTATATATTAATAGAGCCTAAGTAGGTATCTAGTTATATCTTCTAGACTGCGTTAAGAGACATAATCTTCTAGTTGTAGATTAGAATTATTGTAATTAACAAGTACTATCTTATTATCTAGTAGAAAGTATTTTATTCTACTTTTACGTAGCTAGATAAACTCTATAGTATTCTTACGTAGAACGTTAATTAGTTTAGTTATTTAGCTACGTTAGACCTTAACTCTACTAAGTAGGTGTTAGACACTACTAGTTTCTACTATCTAGAGCGTAATACTTATAAGACTAAGTTAATTTAAATAACTATTAATAGGCCTAATACGTCTATAACTATTATAGAGATACTACCTAGTAAGTCTATATTATAGAATCTTTTTTTCTTCTTACTACTACTATCTATAACTAGAGAGGCTGCTATACCTATAACGTAGTCTAAGATAATTATCTTTATTAATAAGAGAACCTAACTCTAGAACGCTACAGAATAGGCTATAATAATGCTTATATATATAATAAAGAACTTTCTAGATAATTAATACTATAGTACTAACCTATTAGCTAGAAATTAGTGCGTATTTAACGTAGTTAAGATGTATACTACCTATATTACGTAGTATAACAAAGATGCGACGTATAATAAGTTTAAGTATTTTACTTCTTATATCTATATTATCTTTGTAATAACGTCTCTTAGAATAGGTATAAATCTACTAGATATTATAAGAGTTATAATATAGAATATACTAATTACTAAGAGTATTATAGACCTATAGTAGTAAATTAGTTATAGAGAGAGAGGCGCTAAGTGCACTAGCTAAGCATTTATCTTTCTTCTATACTAGCTCTTTAACTATAATAGAGTTAATTAACTAGACGTTATAGTAGTTCTAAAGCTAAAGCTTCTAGCTTAAGTGCAATAGTCTTGTTATTAGCTTCTATCTTTACGCGTAGCTAGTAGACTTTTATAGATAGTAATATCTAGTAATATTAATATATCTATTAGCTTATCTACGTCTTAGTCTATAGATAATAAAGTAGTGTCTTAAGTAAGGTTGTCTAAAGACAGTTATAAGTTCTAGTCTAAAACTAATAGACAAAGGCAGGCAAATATACTACTATTTTAGCTAAAGGTTATAAGTAATAGCTATTACTATTATAGGTTTCTTAAGTAGCTAGGTAAATATACTATACCTATAGACTAGCAACCTTATATAGCGCTAGAGGCCTGCTATTCTAAGTATACTTAGTAACTAAAGTAGTAGATTAAAGAGGCCTCTAATATCTCTATTAGCTCTATAGAGCCTTGTAGAGGTACACTCGCTAACCTAATATATACTTAGATTAGAGTATTTATAGTGTAGTAGGTAATAGTGCTCTTATATAGAGAGAATTAATAATTTTCTATACTATTAGGTATATATATAGACTAGGTTACGCGTATCTAGATTAGTAATATATTAGTAGATATAGATACTAGAGCTAATAAAGATCTAGCTTTTCTAGATAGTATTAACTAGATACTATCTCTATACACATAGTAGTATTGCAACGTAGATAGTAAGGTAGTACTATTACTATATTAACTACGCAATATACTAAATACTTTTTAAGTAGAGTATAGTGCACTTCTAGATAATAGAAGATAGTTAAAAATAATAAGAACTTAGAGTACACTATTAGAATCTTAGTTATCTATATATCTACCTCTACTAGACTAGCGTATAGATAATAATATAGCTACTAGTGTTATAAGAATAAACGCGTAGGTCTAAGTTAAAGCGTTTATTAATAGTCTAAATAGTAGCGTTGTAGCTCTAGTTCTATAAGACGCTAGTCTCTAGATTATAGTAGACTATTTAGCGCGCATCTATTATAAATCTAATTTAATACTTTTACTAATAGTGTCTTAAATTTGCAAAAACGCAAGTTAGACTACGCCTACTACTAGTTTAGTGTCTCTCTTGTTTTTTACTAGCGTAGCTAGTACTCTAAGTTCTTATATAGTAGTAAGGCGTTACACGCCTAGGTTAAGAGGTTAAGATAGCTATAATATAGTGCGTACGCTATAACTAGCGTTATACAAGAGACAGGCTACTAGTCTAAATAAAGTAGTAGAGATAGTAATAGTAACTTCTAGTTACGCTATTAAGATATTAGTAATATTACAGAGTAGACGTAAGTAAAAACTAATAGATAAGAGTAAGAGTGTGTAGAAGATATTAGAGTAGTAAAGTAAGCTAGTATTATAGTTAGGTAGGTAGACTCTATATATTAATTAGCTACTATTATTCTTATTTACTTAGAGGTTTCTAGAAGTTTATATAAGATTATAGAAGATCTAAATATATAGTTAGTTATTATTATTATATAATACGTACCTTCTCTTTTATCTTTCTATTATAGTGTAGATAGCTATATTACCTTACCTTTTAGTAGAGAGTCTAAAGTCTATTATTCTATTAGCTTATAAGTTTCTATAAGTTTACATAAGACTATAGAACTATTAAATATACTTTTACTTACTAATAGAATACCTATTACTCTTTTACTCTTACTCTACTAACGTAGCCTAGACAGCTAGGCAATATATTCTTTTTAGTTTAGAGTCTAGAGGCTACTATTCTATTAGCCTAGTAGTTTATAGTAGTTAGTAGAAGGTAGTAGATATTTATATATAGACAGCGTCTAGTAATTTACTATAAAATTAGCCTTAGTAGTAAATAGACGCAGGCGCTAGAATATAGCAAATCTTTTTAGCCTTTTTAAACCTTTAATAAATACTTATAATACTTATTATAATATAAGTACCTACGC